ATCAGTAAATTCACTTAGTTGGAATTTATTTTCTACCGTATCTACTGCTCCTAATCCAATTATCTAAAACATAGTTTTTAAGATAAATAATTTTCCCGTTTTTATTATTAAAGGAGCACAAAACATAAGTTTTTTCAATTTGAAAGAATGTCTAATTCTAATAATAATGGTTTAGGTTTTAGTTGTGAGCAATTGAAAAAGACGGGTGACGTCATTGGTCCCAATTCATCGTAATTGTAGTAGAGTAAAAGTTTCTCGCTTCACCCAACAATTTACCGACCTACAAATTTTATTTACATATAAATGTATAGTTTTATGTGTTTAAGACGATACAAGAATCAGAATTTCAATACGTTTAGTTTTATAAGTATTAAAAATCTTTAAAGGTATAGGTATTTGAATTTTTAATTTATATTTAAATGGCCATGATGCGTTGTTTAACAAAAATATCACTTTAAAGATTCATTAATATTTAAAAAACTAAATGTTATATTGAATTTTTAATACTTTTATCATCTTAAACACATAAAATCAAACATTTAACTAAATTTCAAAAATAAAATTTTTAGATTGGTAAATAGTTGTGTAAAGCGAGACAATTTTACAAGTAAAAGATAGGCAATTACAATGAGCCGGGCCCAATGACGCCACTCGGCTATTCTACATTTCTTAATATCTCTTAAAGTAATCTCTTTTTTCAGTTTTTTTACATCCGATTTTCATCAAATTATTTAATATAACTATAGCTACAATAATTAAATATTTAAAAAAAATCTAAAGAATTTATTTTTGTGTGCTCCTTTAATATTATGTAACATCAAGTCGTTTGTGTATAGATTTATTTAAACCTTGTTATTTCTGAAATCAGGACTTAGCTTTAAAGCAATAACAATATTTGCTTCGATTTGTTCCACATTTCCAAACAGTAAATCTTCAAATTGAGATAAGTTACCAGGTGAACCCTGAAAAATTATATTGCATTAAAAAATTTTTAAGATCTTATGGAATAAAATTGCCAAAAATAAACATACTTTGTAATCTAGAGCCCATTTTCCACCTTTGTTGACAAAAATTTCTACTCTGTAATGGTTGACCAACAACAGTTGTTTAATATATGCTTCGAAATTGGCTTTGTTGAATATCAATGATTCCAGTGTGTCATCATCTAAATTAATAATATCAAATTTAATTTAAGATTTATTAATACTTAATAACTGATTACTAGAAGAATTACCTGACCCAATAATTTTTATCGAATGATTCGTCTTGTAAAAGTCTTTAGCAGCAAAAGTAGCATCTTGACCATGGACAGTGTAATAATCTTGACGATTGAAAAAACGAACAGTGGTTAAAGGTTTCTAAAATTAAAAATTCCAAGACATGAGTTCAAGGTAATACCATCAAAGATTAAAATATGTTAATTGTATACCATTATCTTTTTAGCAGAAACCTGCGATTTTACATTTTCATTTAAAGGCTAAATAAACTCATTTTATACAGATAAAATGTTATAAAACGCAATCACAGTAATTTAATACAAGGATATAATATTAGTTGAAGTCAGTAGGGTCATTATTCAAATATTTATTTATTTTTCAAATAAAAATAACTAACTCTATAGGTAAATTGTATTTCTTAAAAAACTTTTCAATCAAGGTCAAAATGGCCAATTTATTTGTTTATAATATACTATATTAGTAATTTTAAATACTAAAATAATCTGCTGATAATATTTTAAAATTTAATAAGAGTATGAAACAGATATGTAAATTGAATGTTTGTCGTAAAGGTGTAAAATTAACATTAATTATCATACATGACGGACATTTAAAATTATTAATACATTTATCACAATACAATTAAAATTCAATGATTAAAATTAATTTTTTTTTCTTGCGGCCTAGCTCTAAGTAAGCATCATTATAGATTATACATTTCCAACTAACAGAGCATAATATAATTGAAAAATAAAATAATTAATTAAATTAATTAAATTAATAAGGGCTCAGATGCTCTATAAAAATGCAACATACAAAATTGACAATAGGTACATACAAATTTACTTTACTAACATTAGCCCAGGGTAAGCAATGTATTATTATTTATTATTTATTTATTTATAATTCATATGGACAAAGTACAATTTACAATATAGTAATGATAACAGTAATAACATACAATACTTAATAATTAATAAACTTTTCTATTAATATCTACAAATTTAAATAAAACAATGGTATAAATTATTAATTACATAGATATAGGCCTAAAACTGGGAGTGAGATTAAAAATTATGTAAAACAAAATTATTAGTAATGAAGGTTAAGCCTGTTAGAGCATAGAATATTTTAAGTAGTACAATTTTTAGTAGTTAAATTATTTAGGAAATTGTGCAAAAATATTATTGGCAAATATTTGTCATTGTATGAGTAGTAAATAAACCTTAGTGTGTGTATTCCATTATCTGGGCATTATCGTGTTATCATAAAAAAACCGTTAAAATCGGTACAAAATAACTATAAGCAGAAGATTAGTTTATGTACTTCCCAATCAGTGGCGTATTTAGGAATTTGTCATGGGGAGGGTCCAGATAATTTTCAGAAAACAGAGCCATGGGGGGTGATTTAAAATTTTTGAGTTATTAATTATTAAATAATAATATGTACAATACAAATTTAAAAAAAAAGCGGTAAACCGGGGTAAGTGGATATCTCTTTGCTGTACTGTAGGTTACAAGTGGGTCAATGTATATTGTATAATGGATTGTATTATACTTGAATTCAATGATATAATATCATTGTATAAGAAAAACGATTCTGAGCGGAGACGGTTTGTCAGTCTGGATATTTTATATTGTTATTATTTATTATAGCCTGGTCTGTAAGTTGAATTAATATTGAAATATATTTTTTTTTTATTCGTGTCTATGGTGTTATACAAAGCTTTAGAAATTTTTAATCCATTTTTAGAGGGTTCTTTGTAATTTGTCGGTTTTTTTTCCCATGGCTGATGGCATTAAATAACTATTGAGAAAATCGAAAAATGGCCTTTCTAAAGTACCATCTTGATCCAATTCGCTAAACGATACTACATATTGAAATCGAAGCACTCCTTCTGGTAGAAATGTTGTATACATTAGGTATAAAAAAAAAAAATAAACACCATTGTAAAACCACTAGCTTCATCGCTCCGCTTAGGATCTAATATAGTTATGTTATAACTTATAACTTTTATAAAAATATTTCCTAAAATACATTACTTCATTCATCTTAGATAACTTTTCAACCTTTTAGGTATATTAATGTACAAAATTACAAAATTTTTGTTGAAAATTTTTTACAAAATCCTTCGTACCTTCTATCGTATGATAAAATTTGGTTTTTTTTAATCATGTAAAAACACAACATTTGACATGTACGAGACACTGGTCAATTGTGGGGGGGGGTCCGGACCCCATGGACCCCCCCGTAAATACACCACTGTTCCCAATGTCCTATTATTATTTTAAAAATATGTATGAATTCATCATCCCCTTTATTAGGTTATGTAGGAAAAATAATTTATGTTTTAAAACTGAATGTAAGTGTATAAAATAAAAATATTTTCATAATTTTTTTAAATTTTAACATATTTTTAAAATTTTATTGAATACAAAAATCAAAAATCTGTTCCCTACATAACCTATAATAGGAGATGATGAGTTCATACATATTTTAAAAATAATTGGACATCGGGAAGTACATAAACTAATCTCTGCTTATTGGTCTAAAACTACAAAGAATACGGTGTGTCCAACAACCTTAAATAACAAGTTAGGTACCTATAGTAATACAAAAATTATTTGAATTGGTTATTAAGAATTTAATTGTTTCCAGAACACATCAAAATATTAAAGGGGTAATTTAACATGTAACTTTGAGAGTAATGTGGAGTATAGAATAAATTACTATTAAGAAAGTTATGTGTATTAATTTGAGTAAAGGTTGAGTGAGGTTGAGTAAAAATGAATAATTGATCTCGTTATTTATTAATTTAAAAAGAAAGGTGCTAAATGTAATGTTTCTGGTTTTAGAGATTCTAGGTTTAAAATATTTTCATATCCAGTGCTACGGGGAGGTCTTTTGGATATTAGATTTAAAGTATATGAATATGACTTTGTTTTGTAGTTTTTCAAGTTGGTCACAAAAGCCAATGCTGTTATTTTTCCAAATTAGAGGAGCATAATATAAACTTAAAAATAATTCTGAATACAGCTAACTGCTAAGTTTATTATAATGGTTTTTAAAATTTTAAGTTTCTTATACAAATTAAAGTAATGAATATGTAGGTAAAGATTTCCAAAACCATAGTAAAAATATGATTTAAGTAATTGTATAACAAAATATTATATGAAGTGACCCATTTATGTGGCTACTAATTTATTGCTCAATGTTCATGGTTTGCAAACAGTCTTACTTTTTACAATTTTTAATTATAGACAGAGATTAGGTATACAGGGTTTAAAATATTTCTAATGAGCTTCAAGAATGTCAAATTTATTTGTCTATTGAAATATAAGTTTCATTAGAATAATGTAAGTTACTGCCATAAAATGTGACCAAAATTATGCCTATGAATATAATAATAATAAAATAAGTAACAGTTAGTAAGTCAGTATCAATATAAAAATATCAAAAATTACTAATGTAATGTTTTTACATATAATTAAATGGACTATGTACAAACATAATTCTCAGACAACTTTGGGGTTAAGGTTATCTATAACAGTTCAAGGTCCAAACAATACAAAGTATTTTCCATTTCCTCGTAATTTATGATTATTATTTATTGGGTTTTAGCCTTTAACAAATAAACACACCAGTGTATTATATAAATTCAAAAATATTCTTTAACTTAAATCATTCAGTAAATTTCACTTTGTGCAATCTGGTTTATGTGAATGGTGTTTAACATAACAATTATTTTTAATTCATAAGTACAAACAACTTAAATTTTAAAAAATGCAAACATCGTTTAAAGTAAGAATACATTTAATTTAGAGGTTAATGAAATATTATACAATTTAATTTAATGTTTACTTAAAAATAATTAATTAACATTTCAGGTTTGCAAATTGTATATGCTGTTATGTCTTGGATTGTCAACAAATGCCAGTCCAATATTAACTGGATTAAAAACAACTTCATCTGATTATCAACAGAGCGATTCATCACACCATGAATTCTTCACTCAGTTTCCTCCTAACTCAGGTTTTGGAAACATGGATACAAAATTCAATTTACAGTCAGGTACAGATGTTGACCGAAGCTTGACAAGTACTCCAGGTATTACTACAACATACAGGGATCAAAATGGGAATCTTGTGACTCAGGTAAAAAAAGAAACTTATAATAAGGAAAACGGCCAAAGTGCTCATGCATTTGAAATACAAGAGAGTAAACAACTTCCAAACGGGTATTCAAAAAGTTTCAAAAAAGAATACTCGTCATCTAGCGTAGTAGGACCTCAACCTACTACATTTTTTCAAAAACCATTAAATGCAGAAAAATATTACAATAGTGAACAAATATCAAACGGGCAATCTAATTCTTACGGGCAATCTAATTCATACGGGCAATCTTTCCAAAATTACCAAGGACAATCAATACCTGCTAATATAGGAAATATAGGAGTTCAATCAAATTTCAAATCCACAGTAGATCAAAGTTTGACAAATGTACCTGGAGTTACATCAACATTTAGAGACCAGAACGGAAACATTGTTACTCAGGTAAAAAAAGAAATTGTTACCAATAATGATGGTCAAAATGGACATGTAAGGGAATTTGAAGAAACTAAACAATTTCCAAATGGGTATTCAAAAAGTTTCAAAAAAGAATACTCGTCATCTAGCGTAGTAGGACCTCAACCTACTACATTTATTCAAAAACCATTAAACGCAGAAAAATATTACAATAGTGAACAAATATCAAATGGGCAATCTAATTTATACGGGCAATCTTTCCAAAATTACCAAGGACAATCAATACCTGCTAATATAGGAAACATAGGAGTTCAATCAAATTTTAAATCCACAGTAGATCAAAGTTTGACAAATGTACCTGGAGTTACATCAACGTTTAGAGACCAGAACGGAAACATTGTTACTCAGGTAAAAAAAGAAATTGTTACCAATAATGATGGTCAAAATGGACATGTAAGGGAATTTGAAGAAACTAAACAATTTCCAAACGGGTATTCAAAAAGTTTCAAAAAAGAATACTCGTCATCTAGCGTAGTAGCACCTCAACCTACTACATTTTTTCAAAAACCATTAAATGCAGAAAAATATTACAATAGTGAACAAATATCAAACGGGCAATCTTTCCAAAATTACCAAGGACAATCAATACCTGCTAATATAGGAAACATAGGAGTTCAATCAAATTTTAAATCCACAGTAGATCAAAGTTTGACAAATGTACCTGGAGTTACATCAACATTTAGAGACCAGAACGGAAACATTGTTACTCAGGTAAAAAAAGAAATTGTTACCAATAATGATGGTCAAAATGGATATGTAAGGGAATTTGAAGAAACTAAACAATTTCCAAATGGGTATTCAAAAAGTTTCAAAAAAGAATACTCGTCATCTAGTGTAATTAATGCTCATCCAACATTAATTAAAGATACTACTGAGAAAAATACTTATTTACCACAAAAATTTACACAAGGGGAAACAGAAAAATTCAATGGTTACAACACATTTTTTAACAACCAAAAATATACATTGGAGCCGAATAGCCCAATTAGTTCTCAAGTATTTAATAATAAAAAACCAACAGAAAGTGGTCAACAGTCAGTAGACTTACAGGGATATTCAATACCATCTCAAACAGGACAACAGTCTGTAGACATTAGCAACCAATATACACCAAAAAAACCAAGTAGTCAAAAATTTGAAAAAATAGAATCGCTTTCAACACAAACACAAGAGGAAGTTGGTCAACAATCAGTAGACTTACCCAGATATTCAAATCCATCTCAAATAGGACAACAGTCTGTAGACATTAGCAACCAATATACACCAAAAAAACCAAGTAGTCAAAAATTTGAAAAAATTGAGTCGTTTTCAACACAAACAGAAATTGGTCAACAATCAGTAGACTTACCTGGATATTCAATACCATCTTTGATAGGACAACAGTCTGTTGACATTAGCAACCAATATACACCAAAAAAACCAAGTAGTCAAAAATTTGAAAAAATAGAGTCGTTTTCAACACAAACACAAGAGGAAGTTGGTCAACAATCAGTAGACTTACATGGATATTCAAATCCATCTCAAATAGGACAACAGTCTGTAGACATTAGCAACCAATATATACCAAAAAAACCAAGTAGTCAAAAATTTGAAAAAATAGAATCGCTTTCAACACAAACAGAAGTTGGTCAACAATCAGTAGACTTACCTGGATATTCAATACCATCTTTGATAGGACAACAGTCTGTAGACATAAGCAACCAATATACACCAAAAAAACCAAGTAGTCAAAAATTTGAAAAAATAGAGTCGTTTTCAACACAAACACAAGAGGAAGTTGGTCAACAATCAGTAGACTTACATGGATATTCAAATCCATCTCAAATAGGACAACAGTCTGTAGACATTAGCAACCAATATACACCAAAAAAACCAAGTAGTCAAAAATTTGAAAAAATAGAATCGATTTCAACACAAACAGAAGTTGGTCAACAATCAGTAGACTTACCTGGATATTCAATACCATCTTTGATAGGACAACAGTCTGTTGACATTAGCAACCAATATACACCAAAAAAACCAAGTAGTCAAAAATTTGAAAAAATAGAGTCGTTTTCAACACAAACACAAGAGGAAGTTGGTCAACAATCAGTAGACTTACATGGATATTCAAATCCATCTCAAATAGGACAACAGTCTGTAGACATTAGCAACCAATATACACCAAAAAAACCAAGTAGTCAAAAATTTGAAAAAATAGAATCGATTTCAACACAAACAGAAGTTGGTCAACAATCAGTAGACTTACCTGGATATTCAATACCATCTTTGATAGGACAACAGTCTGTTGACATTAGCAACCAATATACACCAAAAAAACCAAGTAGTCAAAAATTTGAAAAAATAGAGTCGTTTTCAACACAGACACAAGAAAAGCTTGGTCAACAATCAGTAGACTTACCTGGATATTCAACACCATCTCAAATAGGATTATCTGGATATTCACAAAATAAACCAATTGGTCAACAATTTGAAAAAATTGAATCATCTTATCAAAATAAACATAATTTCATAGGACAACAGCCAGTGACCTTTAATGTAAATGACAAATCAAGTCAACAATATGGGACAGGTCAACAAATTTTCTCTCAACCAATTGCTGGGCAAGAAATTCAAGGATCAGAATTTTTTAAATCAAATTATGGCGGAACGTCGCAATTATTGGATCTAGGGGTACTAGGACAACAACCCACAGGATATATAAGAGCACCAGGTCAACAAAATTTGAATAATAAAAAATATATTGGTCAGCAAAGTATAGGAGTGTTTGAAAGTCAAAGCACAATAGAAAAAAATATTAATTTAAGTAGTGCAGATCAGTTACAAACTGATGTTGACGGTTACCAAGGAAATGTGCATCATAATTACCAAACCTATCATGATCAATCAATGAAAAATCCAACATTCCAAGGACAACAAACTGTTGACTATACAAGTGATTTTGAAGGACACAAACCAATATACCAAAAACAATATGGAAATACAGACTTTCAATCATCAAAATTGTCGCCACAAACTGGACAATTCTCAACAGGTAATAATGAACCTATTAACTCTAAATATAATAGTGTCTTCGATAAATTAGGTCAATTGGAAGATGAAATTCTTGGTGCAAAAAGCACAGTGAACATAAACAAAGGCAATGTTCAAACTGCCTATTCAACTAATCATAATGTAAAAAGCATGCCTGTGCAAACAAGTCAACAAGAGTCCCACTTTTCAAAAACCATAAATGAAAACACACAATACATAGAGCCAGAATCTGAAATAGCTTATTCTAAATCATTACAAAAAGATTCAAAATTAGTAGTACAACAAGATACAATTGAAAATCATCAGACTTCAAATAATGATAATTTCTCAGAAAATCCAACTACACCGTCTTCAGTTTGGAGAAAAATTGGAGATAAATTTAAAGGTACCATGGAAAATGCAAAAAACCAAGCCCAACAGTTAGCAACTAATATTAAGGATAGAGTAAGCTTTCCAAGTATAAGTGGAAACCCATGTTAAACATTATACCTATTGTTTAAAATATTCAAATACCTAACAATATCTTATAAGTTATTTAAATTTATTTTAAGTTTTTTGTTTTACTAAATGTAAAACAGTTCTAATTGTGTAAATATTATTTATTTATTTATTTTACTAATTTATTGTATGAGATGTACCTATAATACATTTATAAAAATATTATTTATACCTATATTAAAGGTTGGTTATTTTTTTTAATTAAAAATTATTAATATTTATTTACTTATTCAACAGATTATAAACTAGAATAAACGGATACTATTAATGTCATCTTACATCAGGTAGTGATTTATGAAACCGAACAAATGTCTTTTGCTGTTCTGGATCTGAAAATAATAAGAGTATATAAATATAAGATATGATAATAACGAGGATAATAAGATAAGTTGAATATAAATAATAGATACAATCATTCAACTACTAAATAAATACTAATATATTATAAAATATACAATTGAATATTAAAATATCAATCAAATAACAAACAGTGTATGCTCACTGTCGTATTGTACACACATTTTTCAGATATTATATTAACATACATAAACAAATATAGTTCAATAGGTAGCGTGATAAATGATAATAAATGATAATAAGTAGGTAAGAGGTAAAACTATATATACTTGCTGTGTTAAGGAAAGTGGATCTAGGAAAAAAAAATACACTTACTAACAAACACTAAACATTCGAAGATTATGCTCTAAATATTCCAAATTTAAAATTGTTCAATGAACTAACAGATTTCCCTATTGATATTATTTATTAATTAATAATTATGTAATACTATAATCAACATTAAGTACATAGTATATTCGGTTTTTAAATAAGTTTAATATACTTTAGGCACGTAGCTAAGGGGTGGCCCGGCCACACCAATATATTGTTAAAATACCGAAGGCTCATATAATTGAGTAAAAAAGTTAAACTATAGAAAAAAATTGTATTATGATATTTTTTATTATTACATATTTATTTAAATGCTGTATTCCACAACAATTATAAATATGAATATAACGGCTTGTAATTTATCGCATCATATGCGATTTGACTTTCAAACAACATGGTCCAAATAGAGATCGTTCATCGATACTCGTCATATTTGTTGTGTTTTATATTATTGTGATGATAATAAGGCCACTCTAATTGTGTAATTCTAGCTATGTGCCTGATATAATTATTCATTGACAATATTGTACTTGTATATCATATTAGTCGATAACAATAAGTAAGCCTGGTAAGTACATACAACAATGTTTTTCATTAATCATATATCATATTTATGTAATTGTACCTATATAATATTATTATAATTTTTGTACACTACCTATCATATGAAATAGAAATAAAAATATAGGTAAAATAGGAAAATAGACAATAGTATATTAAAAATATAGTTCCTACCTAAATTAGTTGTTAGGTATAATTGCACCTAATTTATTATATTCACTATATTTTCTATTTGGATCAGCATTTCCCAACCAGCGTGCCACGGCACATTGGTGTCTAGTAAAATTACTTATAAAGGCTTGGGTAAAATTTTTATAAAAAGTTAAAATATATTGGAGGGAAACCAGTCCTAAATTTCTCACTAGGACTAGATTTTTATAATGTAATCTTAACATAACCGTAATGTAATATCTATACCATTACCATAATCAATAAATTTTATATTTGTACCTAATAAATTGAAATATGATTTTACAAGTTTTCCTAGCCTAAACAAACACACCGTTTTAAATTATTTGATAGTAATTTACCAATATGCTAGGTACTATTTTGGTATTTATATGATAAAATCTGATGTCTAAATATTAAAAATATATATATATACAAGTCTGTGTCCAGTGTGCTAAATATAAATAAGACTAGTGTGGGATAAAAGATGATTTAGATAGTTTATTAATTAATTACCTATAAAGCAAAAAAATAAATATAATATAATGTGACGAAGCTCTGCGGGAGTAATACTCCGGCGTATCCATTGTAAATTAGTAATTACCTAGGTACATATTTTATGCAATAAAAAATGCTGCATTCAGTTCAATCAGTGCGCTAACAGCTCAGCCCCCATGCGGCGGTGCCACAATAAAATAACAAAAAAAGGTGAGCGGTAAAATACACAAACAATTAATTCATAATCAGGAAATGAAAGTCAGAGAAACAATTAAACGCAAGTACTGACCATGTAAGGTGTACTCAGCATCCGTAAGATCGTTTTTTAATTGTTTCCCCTTTATCAGAGATAACATTTTAATGAAACGTTACAAATTTAACAACTACAGTTTACAGGAGCACATTAAAAATATTTGTGCCTCTGGGGTCCCTGATGAAGGGCTAGACTAACACTACCAACGGGCATTTGTCATAGAATTTGTATGCCAACTAGTACGGATGGATCTCAGGTTTGTGTTTCATCGATAGATCAGTATTTTTCAGCTGGTATATGATTTCGCACTGTCTAGTAAACAAAGCGTATCTGCTGGTCGGCGTACCGTTTAAGTGTCACTCATAATTCGAAATACCAACTTACCCAGGTTCAAATGATTGATCGGTTTTTTGGACATTTTGTCGGAAAATGATCGACGATGATTGTGCAGCAGGTACGAGTCAGAACCGGTTGAATACAACGGCGAAAATATCTATAATGCACGTGTTTCTAGTCAGCGACAGCCAAAAAGTAAATAATTGTCACTTGTCGGTCAGTAGTCAGTAGTACCGCACTCCGCACCACGGTTGTAAGTTGTAACTTGTAGATATAGGTAGTATAATATAAGTATATTAGTATATTATATGGCTAAATAAACAATAGAAAGACAACTAAAATGTGAAAAGTGAAATACTGAATAATATCCGGCATCCGCACACAAAATGCCCTTATCAATTGGCGCCAAAAAAGACCACGGACATGGATGTTGGGTTTGATATCGCCATAGACATAAATATTATAGGGACATTTCATATTGTTCCGTAAAACACTTAATCCAATGGACTTTTGTTTCACAAAATACTTGTTCCAAACTATATTTATATATATTATATATGATTATTGATTATACATATGTCTATGGATATCGCACAGAATAAGTGACGAGCGCTTCCCCGCAGTAAGGCATTTGGCTGGCTTATCATAATATAATAACGTTATCATAGAGTTAATCTGCGACAACAGTTAAATTTTTTCTGATCCTATCTAAAAATAATAATTATAATAAAATTGGTTTCAATTTTAAATTGGTACTTAATTCAAGTATTTGAAAAAATTTCCGGAAACTTCAAAAGTTATGGCAATTCAAAGTTGTCAATATTAAAAATTATAGGTACTTTTGAATGGACGAGCGAGTGACCACGCTGGGAATAAATATACTTAGAAACAATACCTATTGAGGAAAACCGAGGTTTACCTGAGGTAGTTCACACAGCAAATAGGGGGATATTTTCGATTTGCGGAGCGGAGCGATGGCGCCGAGGAGCGTAGCGACGAGTGCCGATACACGCGTAATCGCTGCAACTTTGATATGCCATAACTTGTGAGAACAGTGAGTTTCCGGAAATTTTTGTAGGTAACTGGGAAACGGTGTAGCTGGTGGTACGCAAATTTAAAAAGTTTGAGAACCGCTGGTCTAAAGCCCTGTTCACACGATCAAATAATTTGTCAAATATTTGACATTCGTCAAACTCCAAATATTTTAGAACCATTTCTAAAATATTTGAAGTTTGACATACATCAAATATTTGACAAATTATTTGATCGTGTGAACGGGGCTTAAAGAAACTAAAAATTATACAATACAAACTATTACAAATAATACATTTCTATGTACCTATCAAAATTAGAAAATTCTGAATTTTACATATATTTATATTTTTTTTAATTCTATGTTAACGTTATTATTTGATAAGCCAGCCAAATGCCTTACTGCGGGGAAGCGCTCGTAATAAGTGGGTGTTGTAGAACCTCTTTACCCTTAATTGGTCAAACCATAGACTTATAAACTAAGTTAAACTAAGTTTATAGGTCTACTACTATGGGTCAAACACCCAAACCACAGAAAAATTCTCAATTCGGCTTTAAAATATTTCCTCATTCGAAACGAGACCGCCAAGCCAGTTCATAATTGTTTGTACAACTTAAAATACTTATAACTCGCTTTAAAATTAAAATATAATAAAAAAGCCATGCGATTGCTATAGGTAATAATCTTACCTTAAAATTTTATAAGAGATCAATTCACTCAAATGTTTAAACCAACGGAGCTAAACGTGTTCTGCGTACAATTTGCTATTTTATGGACTTGAAAGACAGAGACAGCCAATGCCGGTGTAACGTCGTCTTAATAAATTTGGTCACTTGGAGAGAATATTTTATTAGACACTACCAAACGAAAATGTCACTAATGAGTACCTAATGAGTAATGGGTGGCTGCTCTCCTCAAATGTTCATCACTATAATATTATGTATACCTAATCTATTGTTAACTGTTCTTTTTTTTATCATATTTATTAGTATTGTGCCTTATTGTACAGATGGTAAATTTTCTTATAAAAAATAAAAAAAATTTTATTAGGCGTGGCAGGTGCCTCGAAAAGAACTGACTATAGTACCTACCTATGTTAATTAAAGGGAAAACTCAGTAGGAACCTAGCTTTAATAAAAATATAATGCAGATGGTATTTATTCTAGTGCAGTTTATTTTAATGTTAAATATGACTAATTGGCTCCCTTTTACAATGATCATAAAAAAATTTCAAAAACAGATTAAAATGTTTTTTTAATTTTTTATACAATAGCCATTTTGTAGTTATTTATTTATATTATGGAAAAGTAAAAAAATCTGAATTTATGGAATTTCGAAAGAATGTTGCAACTTATATTTTCAAAAATGCAGCATAATATTCAGTAAAATTGTATAGTTTTCGGTTTTTCACAATCCTATGAAAAATGCTATAATCCAATAGGTAATAACGAACACATTACTCGT